TCCAATATATATGTGTATATATATACATATATATATATATATATATATATATACATATACATATATATATATATATATATATATATATATATATATATATATATATATATACATACATATATATACACATATATATACATATATATATACATATACACACACATATATATATATATATATATATATATATATATATATATATAAATAAAACTCGTATACAATAATAAAATGGCAATAAAAAACATTAATAAAAACACATTAAACAGTGCTACTAGTTATTTGTCAACATATATATACAAATTTTTAGTGGTTAAAAGTGCAAAAAATGTATTATGTGAAGAAGAAATATCCAATGTTATTTTTACTATTGACTGTATGAGCGCTTGTGTTATATGAGAGTGAGCGCTATAGGAAGAAACCATGAACGTCTGTGTGTGTTTTTGAGGAACCAGCAGGGATTGGGAGGATAAGAAGACAAGTGCTTCATGACTGATTGACACTGGTAGAGAGTAATGTGTTGGCGCCACGGGGAAATGAGCGGGCCAAGAGTGCCCACACTGAGCTAAACAGGCTCACGCTGGGCTCCTGCATCCGGGCAGACGGGCACCTCTGAACTCAGCCTGCGAACTCTAGCGTGACAGGACAGTAACAGATCATCCTGTCTGAGTGAATGAAAGACGACAGCTTGCAGCGATTCTCTACCACACAAGAGTCCTGCTGTTAGATGTCAGCACCTACCTGTGGGGCCCATTAATTCTTCATAATTATCATTTCTAATGCACACTAAAAGCCCTGCTGTCTGTTACTGTAGGAATGTTCAATGTGCTTCATTCATTTTCTTTTCGGCTTGGTCCCTTTATTATTCTGCGGTCGCCACAGCAGAATGAACCGCCAACTTATCCAGCATATGTTTTACACAGCGGATGCCCTTCCATCCGCAGCCCGACAATGAGGAACAAAGCGCTGTAAAAAGTGCAAAATAAAGCAAAAATAATAAAAAAAAATTTATTTGCCTTTAATACTTAAAATTTGCCCAAAATAATGTAAAGTGTCAAAGTAATTTTTAATATATATTTTAATGTTTAATACTCTGATATTTCACATTATTTTTAACTTACAGTCCATAACTGATCAATTCTACATGAATTTATACATGAATAAATTCCCTAAAAACCCTTCATATGTGAAAAAAATATGTAGATTTTATTAACTGAGTGGTAGAAAGGATGGTAAAATGTGACAAAAATGTGAACCAATTTTGACAACAATGTTATTTAGTTATATTTAGTAATTCATGCATATTTTTAGTTTTCATCTTAATTTTAGTCGGGTTTTAGTAAATACTTTGTTTTAATATTTAAATCAGGAATGCCAAAACGTTCTTTTATAAACTGCCAAAAACCAAACTAGACTGAGCGCTGTGGGCCAAAGTTAATTATACCAAACTGCATTACATTAAATTTGCTCATTTGTTTGCTCATTATATAAAAATGACTGTAATAATTTGCTTTAATACATATTAAAAGACAATTCATTGTAACGTATAACCTTTTATAATAAACTTATAATAGTAAAAACATAAACAATCCCATTTATACCACAATGGAGCTCAATATTGTATAAACTAGTCGAGGTGCTCCTGCCTTTGCCTTGATTTGCTCACCGATGTCTTGTGCATTGTCTTCTATCTGTCAAGTGACAGTATTTACATTTTAAAAGTCTGATTCATATGAAACATTTAATTTTAGTTGACTTTTTTTAAGCTTCTCAATTAAACAAAAAACAAAAAAAAACAAAAAACAAAAACAAATGGGTATACATTAAGATTGAAATGACGATTTCTGTCAAAGGCATTCACCCCAACCAACTCCCTACCATTCTCACTCTCTTTTCAGATGGGAAGTCGGGCCAAACCAAAGGATACCATGGGCCAACTTTGGCCCACGGCTTTGGGCAACTCTGATTTAAATATTGCTTTTAAAATTATAAAAGTAGTTAGTATGTATGTATGTATGTATGTATGTATGTATGTATGCATGCATGCATGCATGTATGCATGTATGTATGTGTGTGTGTGTGTGTGTGTGTGTATGTATGTATATATATATATATATATATATATATATATATATATATATATATATATATATATATATATATATATATATATATATATATATATATATATATATATATTTATATATTTATATATATTATTATTATTATCTTTATGTTATGGTTGATAAAGCAAAAAACAGCAACAAGTGAAATTTGCCAATAGAAAACAAACAAACAAACAAACAAAAAAATTATGTTAATTTTAAGATTCTGAAACAGGTAATCTTCAGAAGATTACATAAATAAGTGTTATTTTTAAAATTGATAAACATTTTATTACATGTTTATTTTCAGCAAGTAGTGGATTACAGGAAATGTAAAAAAAGTAAATAGATTACATAAATAAAATAATCTTTGCTAATGTAAATTAATAAAAAAAATTAATGCAGCATAAATTAATACACACCCATTTGAAAACTAATATTTTATCTATTTTTCAGTGGCCAATGATTTTTGGTTCAATTAAACAAAACGGTGTTATTAAACAGTTATGGTTCAAGTGACCTATTTCCAATTTTTTTCTCCCATGTGGCATGGATAAAAATCACATGGATTCAGATTTATGCAACGTCCTCCCATTAAACAATATAAACTAAAACTGTTGAATACATCACCTGCATAAATCACACCATGGAAATGACATTAAGATACCTACTGGTTTAAAAAAAATCCTAGATTGAAAGAAGATGACCAAATGACAACTTTTCTACCATAAACTAAACCACTTGTCAAAATTAATAATAAAAAATTAAACCCTGAGAACAGATTAAATACAGGAATGGAGAAAAGAGCGGTCTTTTATCATCAGCTGTCAGTCAGCGCCTGCTCTTTTTGTCCTGGTCATTGCATCTTTATCATGTGCTGTGTTAATACAGACAATCGGATACAGGTCACGTTCAGAAAATGATATAAGTGGGTCGTCAAAAAAAAAAAATCGGACACAGTCACAAAATCGCAATTGACCATCTGATCGGCAGTGTAAATGCAGCCAGTCGTCCACTAACATCTTTAGGAATAAAAAGATACATTTAAATTCAAACAAGTAAAAAATATCAACAAAATTCTAAATATTTTTTATGTTTCTCCTGATCTTTTCTGTTTTTAACATTTTTATTCAATATTTTCTCTAACATATTAATTTGGGTGTAACCAGTTTTGGCTTTAATATGGAGTAATCTAATGTACAGTTGAAGTCAAAATTATGTTGTAATTTCCTCCTAATTAGTTTTTTCTTTTTCAAATATTTCCCAAATGAGGTTTAACAAAGCAAAAAAAAATTTTACATTGTTTCCTATATATATTTTTTTCTTCTGGAGAAAGTCTTATTTGTTTTATTTTGGCTATAATTAAAACAGTTTTTATTTTTTTTAATCATTTTAAGGTCAAAAATATTAGCCCACTTAAGCAATAATGTATATTTTATTTCGGTTATCTACAAAACAAACCAGCATTATACAAGGACTTGCCTAATTATCCTAACTTGCCTAAATAAAATAACTTAACCTAGTTAAGCCTTTAAATGTCACTTTAAGCTGAATTCTAGTATCTTGAAAAACATCTAGTCAAATATTATGTAGTCATCATGGCAAAGATAAAATAAATCAGTTAATAGAAATGAGTTATTAAAACTATTATGTTTATAAATGTGTTGAAAAAAAATCTTACCATTAAACAGAAATTGGGGAAAAAATAAACGGGGGCTAATAATTCAGGTGGGCTTATAATTCTGACTTCAACTGTATATGCACAAATATCATAAATAAATAGAAAATATTATTTAAAAGTGAGATCTGTGAAGGGTGTTATCATATATGCTGAGTACTGTAGTTCATGCTAACTTAAATCCATAAAATAATATAAATATACAACTTTTATTAACTGAGTTACCCCAGCAGTCATCTCATTGGCAGCGACTGAAAGCACCCGCAGCTTTTATGGCTTTTGATTAGAGTTGCCAATTAACTGCGAGGAAACTCCACCCTGCTGTCAACTGACCTGAGATTCATTTGTTATTTTTAAGGTACCAAAGAGAAACACATAAATAATACAAAATAGATATTAATTATCTGTGAAAATAATTATAGGTTTCTTTTAATAAGGGCAAAATAAAAAAAAATCAGCTGTGTTTACAAAACAGACACGGGGAGTTGATATATGGCAGTGAAGCTGTTCCAAACACTGTGATTACAGGAGGAGGAAGAGCCCGGACCGGTCGCATATATAAATCCCATCAGACCTGTTGCTTCACACACTTGCTAACTGTTCCGTTACTCTGTGTAACCCTTTACTTTAAAGGTAGTACTTGACAATGTAAAGTAAAAAATAAATAAATAAATAAATAAAAATAGAAAAACTGGGCTCCTAAAATAACATCTGCCAAAAAAACAGACTTCAGTGCAAACAAAAGCAACGCATAAAAAAGTTGAAATCTGTGAGACTCTTTCACATAAATTAGAATTGATAAAGCAAGAATTTGCTAATTTTTCTTCTATATTTTTTTGATGATTTTAGTTTTGCCCTCCTTTTATAAATGCTAGTTTAGCAATGATCATCCTAAATGTGAACTTTAGAATGGTTTAAAGAAAGCTTAAATCAAATCAATCAATACATGTATATAAAATAAAACAAAAACAAAACCAATGCAAATTATTTACTTGAGCTAAATTTCTATAATTATAAATGGCGCAGTGGGTAGCACTGTCGTCTCACAGCAAGAAGGTTGCATTCTGTAAAAAAATTACTTAAGTTTTTTATGATGTTGAATAACTTTTGATGCTGAATTTATTGTTTAGGCTGGTGTTACAAACTACAAAAAAAGAAGTTTATTTTCCATTTTAAACATTGTCTGACATATATTTCTGGAAAATTGTTGTGACTCTTACCTGCCACATCTTCATGCTCATGAGCATCCCCAGGTTTGAATCTGGTTTCAGAGAACACACTTGAGTCCAGCTGCTCATCTCCACTACACTCACCTGGGGGGAAAAAAAACAAAAAAAACAGAGGACATAAAAAATGTATTAAAAAAATAAAAATGAATAAGTTAAAAAAATAAAATAAAGAAATATAAATAAGGTATATATATATATATATATATATATATATATATATATATATATATATATATATATATATATATACATAAAAGTAAATAAAAAGTAAATAAGTATTATATATATATATATATATATATATATATATATAGAGAGAGAGAGAGAGAGAGAGAGAGAGAGAGAGAGAGAGAGAAAAAGTACAATAAATAAATACATTTAAATCAATCAATACATATAAAAATATATAAATATATATGTAGAAAATAAAAATAAATAAATAAAAATAAATTAATGAAGAAAGAAAGAAAGAACGAAAGAAAAACAAAGAAAGAAAGAAGAAAGAAATATCTAAATCTATTTTTTTCCACTTCCATGAGAATTTTTTATTTTTTTATTTTTTTACAAGTCATTAGCAGTCATCATTCTTATGTTTAAGTAAACATCAGTCAATTAATTAAGCCGAATGCTTTGTCTTTTTTTACTTCTGTTCAATCTTAAACAGATGTTATCCTCTCATTCACACTGCAATGAGTAATACCCTCCAAATACTCTTCACCGACTTTAAAAAAAATTGCTCTGCACAGATGTGCATAAGACAACTGTCCTGCTAGTTTGCCATGATGATGCATGTTCACAGGTGGTAGGAGAGTTCAGCCAGCATTGGGCTGATCGCCAGCAGCTTCCCGTTTCCCTGCACTCGGATTCATCAAGTCTCGACTCGTCTCACTCCAAACAGAGGCAATCGATTCAAAACACAACAGTTCCCAACACTGAACATTAATAATGATGATGATGATGATGATGATGATGATAATGTTTAAGAATGATAGCTAATGTTTCTCACTAACAGCATACAAAAACCATGCAATTATTTCTGACATGAAAACTACAAGAGTACCAAAAATTATTCTCTACGCTTGAGTCAGACGACAAAATATCAAACTATTTGCAAATATACTATGATACAAAAGTGTATGAAGTTCAAACAGGACTAGCCACAGGTGCAGATCATCACATCATCTATGAACAGTATCCACTGATGCTTATTAAAGGTTTTTTTATGCGTGACATAATTTGCTTGAAAAGTGTGCTTGTGTCATTAATCAGGGTTAGCCACAGAGGAATGAAAGGCCAACTTATCCAGCATATGTTTTACCCAGCGGATGCCCTTCCAGCTGCAACCCATCACTGGGAAACACACATACACTCTCAATCACACTCACACACTACAAACAATTTAACTTACCCATTCACCTATAGCGCTTGTCTTTGGACTTGGGGAAACCGGAGCATCAGGAGGAAACCCATGTGAACATGGAGAGACTATGCAAACTCCACACAGACACAGAAACGCCAACTGACCCAGTCGAGGCTTAAACCAGTAAACTTCTTGCTGTGAGGTGACAGTGCTACCAATGACAGACTGTGAATGAGCGAATTTATTACTTGATAGTGTGGCTAAACTGCACCTCCGCAGAAGATGATCAACACCCACTTGAATATCGTTGTCTCTTTATCTCCGCCCACTTATTTACACTGTAACTGGTAAATAATGAGGAAAACAGGGGGGCATTTCAGAAAGCAGGTTATGTGACATACCCGAGTAAGTTTGAGAGTAAGTAAGTGGATAACCTCAGCTTTGGTTCCAAAATCGGAGGTAACTTCTGGGGTATGTTAAGTAGCTTTAGCAACTTACTCTTAAGATAACCTGCACCGGAGCAGGTTATCTTCAGAGAGTAAGTTGCTATGCTCCAGAGTTTGTCCGTTTCAGAGAGTTTACTGAGCATTGTGTGCTCTTTTGATGAGAATATTCATGGACGACGTAGAAGCACAGACATACAAGTTTTTTTCATTGTGAGAGGTTTATAAGTGCATAGTTCTTTTCATAACCAAATGTATATTTGAATGAACGTTGTTGTTTAAAAAAAAAACCAATTAATTTCAAAAGGTTTGTTAAATACATTAACGTAACAAACCGCAGGTCTGTGCTTACCATAGAAAACAGTGCAGCTTTTTGTATTCGCGTCAGGGCATTTTATGCAATTGTACAATGTGGTAATAACGTGTAGGACCATCTGTACAGTTTGCCTGGCACTGAACTGTTTTATACACTTTTGTACAGTTCCTTGGTCTTAAACCACGGTGTATCATTACACACATTACTTAGAGCGCGGCAATAACATAATGGACAGGGTGTCATTAAAGAACAACGGTGCACGCAGCGGAGCAAGTTCGAATCTCACATAGAGATCTAGTGTTTCTCTCTCTTTCTCTTTCTGCACCCCTCACATTTTTCTGTAGCTTATGTAAGAAGTGGCAGCTTTGTCTTTTGTAGGAAAATATATTCATATTTTAAGATGTAGGACATTGTTCATACGTATACATCTATTCACGCACAGATACACACTTTATACATTTTTGGAGTTCTTCAAAACTTCAAACTTCAAACAGAAGGATTACAATTTCAATAAGCCTTATAGCTATACTAGTCAACGCACATTTGTATTGTGGCCTTAAGAAATGAATGGGAGGAAAATTAAATGCATGAATAGTTACATAAGATATCCAAAATTTATCATTACTCATAATTTTTAATTACAATAAAAGGGAGGGTGGCATGTGTAATTTAATGAACTAACCCCTCTGTAAAGTCCATTGGTCTTTTTTTCTCAACGTGACTTTCTATGGGGATTCGTAAATTCGGCGATCTACTGAAAATGCCTTCAGGCATGCGCCGTGCGCGCACATTGACCCGCGGTTATCTTCAGGAGGTTGATTTAACTGATTCTTCATTCATTCATTTTCTTGTCCCTTTATTAATCCGGGGTCGCCACAGCGGAATGAACCGCCAACTTATCGAGCAAGTTTTTACACAGCGGATGCCCTTCCAGCCGCAACCCATCTCTGGGAAACATCCACACACTCTCATACACTACGGACAATTTAGCCTACCTAATTCACCTGTACCGCATGTCTTTGGACTGTGGGGGAAACCGGAGCACCCGGAGGAAACCCACGCGAAGACAGGGAAAACATGCAAACTCCCCACATTAACGTCAACTGAGACGAGAGTGGAACCAGCAACCTTCTTGCTGTGAGGCGACAGCACTACCTACTGCGCCACTGCCTTGCCCTTAACTGATTCTTATCAGCTGTTTTGGAACCGACATACTCGCGGTAAGCAGGTTTTGGGTTTATCAACCGAGAGTTGAGGGTTTAGCAGATGGTAAGTTATTTTGCTGCTTGTGCGTTAAATTTGGGCACTCAAGTGACCAAGCGAGAGAATACAGTCATTTTTCAAAGTAAAACATTTTTCAGACTCAGATAATAAAAAAAACTAAAATAACTAATGATTTCTTGTGCGGCCTGGTACCAATTAATCCAAAGACCGGTACCAGTCCACTGTCCGGTGGTTGAGGACCACTGTCATATTGAACTTTAGGTCCTAATCATAGAAGTAATGTAATCCACACCATATGCAGAGTACATAAGTGTCTCCATATGCACCAGACACTTGTAAACAGCCTATGCTTCTCGAAAAAACAGGATAGGTGAGCACGCTTGACAAAGCACTTGAAGGACACACTCCTATATGTACAGGGTAAAAAGACAAACAAACAAACAAAACAACTTTTAAAGTGCTTCTTTTATCCTCACTTGTGAGTTGCTTTAAAAAAAAAAAAAGCACAACATAGGCTCATTCTGAAAATGTAGCCATATACATTTCTGGAGATCGTGAATTATGTAGCTAGAGCTACATATGGCTGCACTTCATCTTTAAAACTGAACGCTACGGGGCGGTATGACACAGCTCCTTTTCTTACTTACCAGCTCACCGCTTGGACGGCTTTTTCACTATAACTAGTTTGTCCAGTAGCTTGAAATGTATGTCGGCGGATTTGAGACAGAGTGGAGTTTACCGTGACAACAGGGTTCGAGTCTGGCGAGGAACGGTTCCAGAAAGCAGGTAAGACAAAAACAAAAGCTAAAAAATAAAATAAACAGGTAAATAACAGGGTGAAAATGGGGTAAAATCTGAAAACACAGTAAAAATCACGAGGCTTTACTTTTTCTTGATTGCTTTTTTTAAAACACTAGGATTGGGTTTAAGAAAGGGGGCGAGTGCTGGGTAATCTGTGCTTTTTAAAAGACTACTGGTTGGGTTTAGGGAAGGGGAGGGTGGGTCGGTCGGTTGGTCAGTCAGTAAATCAGTCAGTCAATAGTGGCATCTGGTGGATTTATGCGAGACCAGCAGGCACAAATGGCACTCGCTACAGAAATTTGTGTTTAAAAAAAAATATAAATAAATAAACGTAAATAAATAAATGTACACAACGGTCTATGGTGGATTCACGAAAACAAAAACTGCACCAACAAAAAAAAAAAAAAATGTAGCTCCTAGGACGTAATTTGCTCTCTCCTGTAATGCACATAGGGGTACATATTCAGAATAAGTCTGAGTAGAAAAAGCATCTACTAAGTGAATAAATGTAAAAGTAAAGCATTAAAACTTTTTAGCCTAACTTTTGGCCATTTTCTTCAGAGTCTGGACAGAAAGTAGCCCCTTTTTTTATATAAAAAAAAAAAAAAAAACCTGATGTAGACCTCAGAGAGCACCACAAAATAATAAAAGAAACAGTTCACGACCCTTCTATTTAAATAAATGCAACTCGGCTTAATATTTCATCTAACACCGAAAGCGTCAATGTTTTTAATTCAGTTTAAGTATCCTAATACTTCTCGGGGTCACAGTATATAATGCATAAACAATCTATTAGCTTATTCCCAGCTTTCAAGCCATAGGCTGATTGTGGCGGCAGCCATGATTAAGAACCCTCCTAATTAAGTTCAATTCAACATCTCTGACTCTAGAACGATTCATATTTTAACACGAAGACACATCTGTGCGTGCTACATGTGTT